GTGTCAGCTGGTTCAGATATAGTAGACACGTGAAAATGTCAAGTTGTGTCAGCTGGTTCGGATATACTAGACACGTGAAAATGTCAAGTTGTGTCAGCTGGTTCAGATATTGTAGACACGTGAAAATGTCACGTTGTGTCAGCTGGTTCGGATATAGTAGACACGTGAAAATGTCAAGTTGTGTCAGCTGGTTCGGATATAGTAGACACGTGAAAATGTCAAGTTGTATCACCTGTTACGGATATAGTAGACACGTGAAAATGTCAAGTTGTATCACCTGTTACGGATATAGTAGACACGTGAAAATGTCAAGTTGTGTCAGCTGGTTCGGATGCAGTATAGTCACTTGAAAATGTTGCGTACTCTTACCTGATATGTATTTAGAATTATTATTTTTTAAAGTTGTTTTGAGATCTCCTACAAATCATTTGGATTTCAGTACCGATTTTCCCGAACTGGTATTTCCATAAGGTAACCTTTTTCACGTCTTTCCTCTATCGTCCCTAAAATATTTTTATTCACGTATGTACCAGATTCTTCTTCTTTGTTTTCCTTAAATGTCGGTATCGTGAAATCTGTGACCATTGTTTGAAACATTGTTACAATCCCCTGTTACGTGCAGAGCATTGTGTTGCTTGATAGTGTGTTAATAAATAGTTGATTATACTCAGCGAGTGTGTTTCTTTCAGCCTCTTGTATCCAAATGTCCACTTATTTCAATGTACAAAAATCCATTAAGAGCAATACCCACATCTGCGACTGGTAAATAATTCTAATGTTGAGATCTGTCAGTGAGTTATGATTGGTAAATGTCAACCGCAACTGACGATCATTTTACAATATCTTAATAAACGTATATTTTTGTATATAATATTTATGGGGGGCTTTTGAATCCTTTTTAATTCACCATACAGCAACCTAAATTAACTTAGGTTGCTGTATAATGAATTAAAAAGGACTTAAAAACCCCATAAATATTACATACACAGCACCATTATAAGAAGCCTAACTGTATTTCTTTGCTTTGCTAACCTAAGCTATGTTGATGAGCCTTGAATAGTCCATAGCAGAGGGTAGGGCCAATCAAGGAATGCAGTAGGCTTGTATGTCACAGATTCTCTATTCAATTGTATTTTTGGTTAAAAAGAAAAGAAGCCTGTATAGTCACGTTTTTGTATGTTTAACCTTTATTTGGCTCATCCTGAATAACAACTGACCTAAAATTAAAATTATGACATGTCATCTCCAAAAAACAAATGGAGGGAAGAAAACGTTAAAATTGCGTATTCTTCAGTTTCAAAATCAACATGGCAAAAACTTTACACAGAGAAGTACGAAGGTTTTCATCCGTGACTTTCAAAGTATACATACACGGAAAACTTTAGGGAAAAATAAAAACTTTGGGTTTTAAGTCAGACATGAAAAATAAGTAGAAGAGCAGAAATGACAAGCAGGAAAGTAAGCAAGTTATGGAATAGCATTTGTTTCAATTTTCTGAGGGTTTGGTTTTATGAATATTACCAAATGTAAGCAGATCTATAATTCACTAAAGTTTTTCTTTTCACTTTTTGTAATAATTATTTTGGTGGTTAAGAACACAAATATTAAAATATTATGCAAGATTAAAAATTCTATGCATTATTTGGCATATCAGCTAAACCTTTGCTTTCTATTTGTTGCAGCGTCATCTTGAGGAACTATGTTGCATGAGCCGGCTTGTTTGCTTACATAACACATACTTATGTGCTTTTTTTAGTTATGAGTGATATGTGTTAGTTAATTGTGTTTAAGCCAAAAAAACGGCAGACTGTCACCTAAAATGATCTGAAAACACGACCAAACACAAATAAAATCGATTTACAGTTTTGTTCTAAGGGCCTTAATTAGTAGCCATGTTGTTTAGGATAACTTGCACCATTTTGTCAGAATTTATTTAACAAATTTGTCCTGTTATTACTATAACTTTCATTTATGATTGCACCATACTATTATAATCATTTTACAGAAATGATGTCACAAGGGGTAGTTGTCATATGAAAATCTGAGTCATTTACTAAATTCTAAAATCGGTATTTGTTTTAGACTGTAAATACACCCTTCTTCCGAAGACATGTATTGATTGGTTTATTAAAATAATTAAAACCATGTCGAGACTATCCAAAGGGGCTGTTATTTCGTAAAGAATACATGGAATAGTTTTCTTGAGTGCCTTCATATATATCAAATGGAATAAACTGGTTGTGCATCTTTGGTTTAAAGGTCACACTGTGTGTATTTTACATGGTATTATGTTTCATAATGTGTCTGCGAGAAGAACGAATAACAGAAAAATGGTTAGGTTCATCATCAAATGGAACGAGAACGCTTGGCTCCTCTAATGTTCTAATGTTTACTACTTCAAAGCGAATGTTCTACCCGAAATCTTAGAAGTTGTGCTATCCTATCGGATGCTATGACAAAACATAAAATTGGTAAGTGCTACTATTTATTTTTTCGCTTAGTTTTTTATGTGTAGAATCTGATTGGGAAATGTTTCCTTAAGTGATTAGATTTGTTCTATAGTAAGTCATTGATTTAGAAAACCGTTTGACCAAAGCACAATATCAGTGTCGCTATATCTAGTTGGATCAAAAATGTTTAT